AAATGAAAAGGTTCTAGGTTCGTAAAAATTAGATACTGTGAATTTTTTTTAATTTGGAAAAACTTTTTCAAACGCAATTACAGGATTTTAACCAAGAGGTATTTTTCATTCTCAGTCCGCGAATTGGGTATTATAGACATATGTGAAAATAAGGGTTTTCGATTTTAGTTTCATACTAGTTTGTAGTATCATTCTTATATAGTTACCATGAATTTTAATCAAAATCTATCTTCTTAAAAATAAAACTGTTATTTAAATTCAACGCGTAGCTTTTGTTTCTTATATTATGTTTAAAACCACTGTCAAATCATTGTCAAATAACTTCCTTAAAACTAAAGGACAATGGGTCAGCAATGAGTAAATGTACCTAAGGTAAGGTCTACTAATAACAGAAAAAATCACGGAATCAAATTTTAAAAAACGTTGAAACATTTACAATTTTTAAGCTAGAGAACACGATTTTTTATAACAGTTTTTTGAATTCAAACAACTACACTCGAGTAAATCGGTCCACACGCAAAAAGGTTATCGTGACTTCAGGCTAAAAAAAATAAACACATTGGCAAAACTAATACCTTCTCAGCTGTCGCATCGAATCTAAAAGGAAAAATCACTCTCGCACCATATTTTAATTTCAGGTTGCTATGTGTGAATGTATCAACAGCCAACAGGTATCTGACAAATATGTTTATTGTTGTTGGTAAGCTGTGGTAGTCATTAAAGAAGAACGAAAAATTGTTCTTATATTTTTTTGTTCCACTTGTCTTCTGGAGTAAAAAAAATTTTCCTCATTTTTTCAAATTATTTTTAGCGGATGCGAGCATCAGTTTTTCAAAAATGTTTGGTTTTTTAGTATTAGTTTTCTTTACGTATAAATTAAAATTAAATTTTTATATTTAAACAGATGGTATTGTATAAAATAGTATTACTATTTTTTATTTTTAACTAATTAAAGTAAATAATTAGAACTAGCTTAGGCCTTAGAAAGTAAAACTATGAAAATATTTATAAACTAACCCTTAATATTATCCTAAAATATTTGTTTTATGGGTTTAAAAAAGAATAAATATATTTACAGGGTGTAATGTAAAGTTCTACCGAGCTTCAAATGAGACATTCAGTATGCTTTATGGGTATAATAAATGGTATTAATTTTTTTTTACTTTTAAAATTATTTAAATTATAACTCGTATCTCATTAAAAAATGGTCTAACGAAAAAAATAATTTCAGATTTGGAGAAATCTGGAGAAAAAATCTTGTTAAATTGATATGTAACAAGGTTTTTATCGTAACTGGCCACATATACGTCCACAGGGTGACCACCGAGTGGCCATTGAGTGACCGGCATGTGACTAAAATCAACATATGGCACGTGACATATCATTTTGGGTTAGAATTTTATTCTCAATTCAGTGGTGTCCTTAGTATTATTTTACATGAAACGATGTTTCGCATGCTATATGTTGATTTTAGTCACATACCGGTCACTCAGTGGCCACTCGGTGGTCACCCTGTGGACGTATATGTAGCCAGATACCAAAAAATAATGTTACATATCAATTCAACAAGATTTTTTCTCTTGATTTCAAATCTGAATTAATTTTTTTGCTAGATAATTTTTAATGACATAAGGGTTCTATTTTAAATTTAAAAAAAATGAACACTTTTTATTGTACCCATAACACTTATTGTATCCATGAATGTCTCATTTGAAGCTCGGTAGAACTTTACATTACACCCTGTATATATTTGTTGGGTGTCTTTAGGGTAGTTTATTAAGGGTTAATTTGACAACGTTTACATATACGTTACATTCTATGGTCTAATTTAGTTTAAAAGTTGTATTTTTGTAAAAATAAAAAATACTAGTTTATTCCTCTTATTCTACTGATGACTTTTTATGCAAACAACATATTGTGCTTAAAATTAATATTTCATATTTTTGAAAAACTAGTGATCGCATCATCTAAAAATCTAAAAGAAATAGCGAAATATTGTTTTACCCCAAAAACATAATATTATAAGAGGAACAGAAAACAATTAAAAAAAATAGTTTTGTCTATCCTAATTACCATATTGCCTAAATATTACCATATTTAGTTGTAATTTTCTCATGAATTAACGATGTCAGGCTGGGAGTGAAGCAAAGCGAAAGCGTTTCCCTTTCAGTATGGGCGATACCGAGATTAAAAATTACCATATTGCTTATTGGTAATAACGGTGACAAACTACTAGAAAAAAACAGAAGATTAGCCCCTATCATATCTACCCTAATACTTAAAATAAATTTCTGTGGCTTTGGTCTAGCAGGCAGAGACAAATGAGCTTTAAATTTTTTATTTTCTTTTAGCGCTATGGATTTTTTTCTATAAACTCTTCATAAGTAATTCATTTTTTGGCCTCAAAGAGTATCATCTTCAACACAGTATATAAAGGATAGTTATTGCATTTAGCAGACTAACTCGTACATGCCCAAAATTGACACAGGCACTTTTAGACCCAAGCCACAAATGTATAATTGCAAGTGCTAAAATGAAAATACAGGCATTGCAGCTATAACAGAATACACCAAGTTCTTTGTAAACAATGTAACGACTTGAATCAATAACATTTTTTAGCGCTTTCAAATACTATATTATAAATCAGTGTAGGTTGAAAAAACAATTAAGTTGTTATGGAACTTATTTGCATTTCTACCTTAATGTCTTTTGGACAAATATTAAATTTATTTAGTATATTTATATATGTGTGCAATGGTTTTTATAGAACTAATAATTGAATCGCTTTATGCATAAAAAGTCTTAGTCCATAACATAAAACTTTTGTTATTTTTGAAAAAGTATTAAATTGTAAGACCTCTATAAAGTCAATAGCGATTGGATAAATTAAATTCTATAAGATAATTTTTTTTTTCAAAAACGCAGTCTTGATAGTTTGTATTATACACATTAACAAATGAAATAACTTTTGTTTTAATGAATATTTTTAAGATTTTTTTTTTTTATAATTTGTACTCATTTGCGCTGTAAGCACCAATAAGTTACTAAAGGTTAAAGGGTAGGATGGGAGATGGAGTGCGGTAGAGAAATGCGTGCAGATAAAAATAGCTCTAAGCGCTTACTCTACCGCACTCCACCTCCCATCCTACCCTTTAACCTTTAGTAACTTAAAAATTAATTATCCAAATCTTTTAACAAAATGGCTATATTGAAATTTAAAAAAAAATGTAGCAAAAAAAATTTTAAAAAAATTAAAAAAAGTAAAATAGTTAAGTGCAATAAAAAATATAGAGCTGTATTATAGCGCAAATGAGTATAAATTGTTTAAAAAAAAAAATCTGAAAAATATTCACTAGAAGAGAATTTATTTTATTTGTCAAATCATTGTGGGCCATCCTGTATAATATAGTATTATTATACTGTGGCCCTTATTATAAAAATTAATAATTATATGTAATTAATACACTTAACATTTATTTTAATTAATCATCTTAAAAACAAAAAGTCTGTGTCATAAAACCAGTTTTATTAGCTTTCTAAACAACGAAATATATACCTTAATATTAAAAATAAATTAAAATTAAAAATATAGGTATTTGTATAAAATATAACAACAACTAACTTGTATTTTTGATAATATGATTAATCATTATTTTTGTAAATAGTTATCATAACATTAGAAACATTAATATGAGAATAACAGCCAACAGTCATATTGATAATATTATTTTCGCTGAAATGTGAACTAACGCCTAACATCCCTTTTCAACAAACCTTACCTGTATACTTACACCGTGAGATGGTTTCTTGACGAATTCGCTCTTGACGATCGAGATCGTCAGTCCGTCGCCGTGTTGTTAGCTAGGTTTAGCTGTCATGCGTTTAAGTGTAAAACCAGAAATCGAAAATAAATAGATCTTTAAAAATTTGGAACTAGGTACCCACAATTGCTGGAATTACAATCTGATGCGAGGACGACGTCTATAGTCATATTTCAAAGGCATGATTCGACCCCATGATGGTTCGCACTGCGATACGGAAGGCAAAGGGAAACCACCGTATAAATCATCCCAAGAAATAGCAAAAGCTACAAACAAATCTCAGGATTGAATACTAAAGAAGAAGATTCGACCCCGAGACACAAATAAACATTAAAATTTTTCATTCATTTACCAGCAAATTTACCCTGAACCATACAACTAATAATTTTTAAATAAAAACTAAAATGTAGTATTTTATGGTTCTTGTTAATTTACAAAGTCCAAATTCATTGAGTTAAGTATTATGAAATGTATGTGTCACACACTAATATTAAACCAAATTTAAATTACAAAAAAACGTACAATATAAAATATTATCTGATAAATTTACGAGGAACTTTGTTGAACAGGGCCCACGCTTTTCTCTAATGTCAAAAATTAAAGATGTTTAACATTATTTAAAATTGTAGTTAGTTTTCGGTTGTTTTCAAAGTAATTGACATTTTAAATTAAATGTGCTACAATTGATTGGTAAATTGTTCTTGTAATACAATTCTTTTTTACTTTTTACTATTTATTAGAAAAGCAGTTAAGAACTGATTAGTGTCAATAAGTTCAGATCACAAACGATCTACCGACTAAAAAAAGAATGTCCGGCGCTGCTGCTTGAATAAAAGTAGAGTATATTTGTTTTTATGTTTAAAAGAAGTATCTAAAGGTTAGACGGTTCAGAATTAAGTGTTTGGCGTTGTTTACTTTACGGGTTTAATAAGCAATGGTTTAAAACATAAAGAATATCTAGAAATCAGTCGGCTAAAATATCAAATATCAGTAGTGTACTGTTACGGTGCAGTGGTGTACTGTTACGGTGCAGTGCAGTGAATGAATCACACACGACTGTCCGCCTTTTAAGGCTTAATTAAGGAATCCAGACGTGGTAGGAAGTTACTCTGTATCAACCCTATAATTCCTAGAGACTATTTATGTATTTTTATAATCACCTGAAAATCAAAAGGGTTGTCGTACCTTAAAATCAAGTAACTAAACTCTCAAATTGCAACGTACAATGTTATTTATTATACAAATTTAACGACGAGTAAGAACTAAGTTATCGATTAAAATATTAAAATGAATAAAAAGCAGTATGTATATAAAGGTTTTACACTTGTTACCTGGGTCCGTGTTAATTCGGATATAAAATAGGCGGAGTGACACACACAAAAAATATAAAAAAAGAGCCGAACAATTATTAGGTAATTACTTGTTAGTAAATAGGTGTTGTATGGTATATATTAAAAAAAAAAAATTACATTTCAAAGTTGGCTTATTTCTACGTTTTATTATTAGTGTGGCACAAATAATGTGATGGTGCATTTAACAAGTTTTTTTTGAGAAAAAATAGTTTTATTAGTTTCATATTATAATACAAAAAATGCAATTAATTTATCCTAATGGCCATGGAAAAAAGTTGCCAAAAACCATAACCATATACAATGTATTCTTAAGTTAAGGATGCATGTGCTTTGGGGTTAAACATGTTTAAAATTAAATTAAATTAAATATTTACAGTTTAATTAAATTATAAAGCTACCTATAATAATTGGACTCAGGATTTTCCGCGATAGAGAAAATTATATTATAAAATCATAACTCATAATCTGTAATATGATACAAAAAAATGTACATTTTAATATCTTGCTGATGGCTAACTTGCACTTTATATTATAATATGCTTTGTGTAATTAATAGCTTTATATTAAATATATTTACAATTAAAACTAAAAAATATAAAAACAAATAGGTAAATAAAAATACATACTTTGAGTTAATTTATATAAATTGGAATGGAATAAACACATAATTATTGCTTTTGCTCTTTTAGAGCGAAGCATTTTATTATTATATTATAACGTTTTGAAAAAAAAGTAATGTTTTAAGCTACGAAATAGTACGTTTAGGCAAAACCCAATTATCTCAATCGATTTGTCGCCAGTTTTACTCTAAGAATCGATGTCTTACTCAATTTTGTCAAAACTGGAGATTACACGTTCAGAATGGAAACATCTCATTAATAAGGAACGGGGCTTTTAAAAATCACAGCAAAGTACGAAAAACGAAGAAAACGGTCAACGCAACGGATTTACGTCGGTCACGGAAACGGCGTTTCGGAATTTTAATCACTTTAGCCGACTGATTTATTAGAAAAGAAACGATTGTAATGATATTATATTATTCAAATGTACAATTCTTGATTCGTTATGTTCCATAGTCCCAATGCTCAAATGACTCCTATTATGAACATTTATTTTGATATATAAATGTTTTTTTTTTAAATTTTAGACGTACTCGTGTGTAGTATGACTTACCAGGTTAGCAGACAGTGAAAATTAATTTTGCAAATCTATGGCCACTCGAATATTGTTATCAGAATTAGGATTATACCGTCGTTTTTCTTATATACCAGCCGGTATGTTTTGACCAGAAACCGGGTGTGTATACAGAGTGAATAAAAAAACCAATTGAAACGGAACTCTACATTGACTTATCTTATTGTTATTACAACAATAATATTATATTTTCTAGAGTTCCGTTTCAATTGATTTTTTTATTCACTCTGTATACACACCCAAGTCATACTACACACGAGTACGTCTAAAATTAAAAAAAAAACATTTATATATCAAAATTAATGTTCATAATAGGAGTCATTTGAGCATTGGGACTATGGAACATAACGAATCAAGAATTGTACATTTGAATAATATAATATCATTACAATCGTTTCTTTTCTAATAAATCAGTCGGCTAAAGTGATTAAAATTCCGAAACGCCGTTTCCGTGACCGACGTAAATCCGTTGCGTTGACCGTTTTCTTCGTTTTTCGTACTTTGCTGTGATTTTTAAAAGCCCCGTTCCTTATTAATGAGATGTTTCCATTCTGAACGTGTAATCTCCAGTTTTGACAAAATTGAGTAAGACATCGATTCTTAGAGTAAAACTGGCGACTAAACACGATTATTATTTTCTACGTATTAATCAAATAAAAAATAGGTGTTTCGATTTAAAAAAAAATTAAGTTTTTTTTTTACAAAAAAAATGATGCTTCTTATAAATAAAATGTTCATTATTCTGAAATTTATAACCGTTAAGTTTAGCAAAAATAGTTATATATTTTCCAAAGAAAAGTGTCTTTATGCCTAACGAATAATTTTTTAAAGATTTGTTGTAAATACTTATTACGTACATCGTTTTCGTAAACCATATTTGATATTGCCAAGTTGTTTAATTTTGTAACTTCTAGTTTTCAATTGATATCTAGTTTAGTTCATCTGCTGTAATTTCATTGATTTTAATAATACCTAAATAAAAAACATAATATTTATGATTAATAATATTTGTATGCGTTGATTTGTAAAAATAGTTATAATTGAAAATTACTTTTATAGCGTTTTCCACTCTTCTGAACTATTGCATCAAGGTGACAAATTAACCGGGATAATCGTACTGAAATAAAAAAATGCAATACAGTATGCCCCAATTCTGTAGGTTAAACAAAATAATATTCATTAGGAAAACATTATTAATAACTAAATAATAATAATAAATATAATAATTAAAATTAATTTTATGTTTAACAATTCTGTGGCTTGGTGCAAGAAGGACCAATGTCAAAATTTGTTAATATGATTTGATAATGATTTGTTAATTTGTTTTGATAATTCAGCTGTAGTCTAAATTATACCTGCTATAATATTACTCAAAATTCTTTTCTTTTATTATCCACCTCCCGTCATCAGTCATCCTCACTTTCAAATGAATATAACTTTTGAACGGATGAATAAAAATACAAATTTTTTTTACCAATTCTTTTTTAAAAATTATTTTGAACAAAATGGCTATCTTGAAAAAAAATAAAAATATGTAATAAAAAATTTAAAAAAATTAAAAAAAGTAAAACAGGTAAGTGCAATAAAAACCACGGTGCTTATAGCGCAAATGAGTATAAATTATTAAAAATAAAAAATCTCAAAAATATTCACTAGAACAAAAGTTATTTCATTTGTCAAATCTTTGTGGGTCACCCTGTATACTATAAACGAATTAACGCAGGTAGACGGACAGCGATGTGCCGTTTTTATTAACACTAACACATAACGTTTAACGTTAATTTAAAATATATATGCGTTTCATTCCATTGGCATATCATCCTGTATACTATAAACGAATTAACGCAGGTAGACGGACGTATATTATATCTGTACGACGTTATTCTTTATCTATGATTATTATTATATTTTGTTTGGTACTTGTTATTATTATTATATCAGGCTTTCAGTAAAAAAAAAATGTAATTTTTTAATTTAAACTCCCCCTACTTGCCCCCCCCCCTCGCGGACGCCCTTATCTGAGAGGTGGTAATTAGTTTTTGTGGAAATTCTCCTCGTCTATACATTTTTAGTCAAATATGATTAAGTTAAAACTGTTTGTGTAATGATATTTTATTGAATACGTGTACAATATACACTATACGAACAATAATATGAATAATAAAATAATAGTAATATATTGAAATACGTTATATTTAATTATCGTGTTCAGAAAGCTGGAAGTGTCTTAATCGAACTATGATACTTTTTTAGAAAACTACAAACTTAAAAATAGTGCTTTTCAAAATACCTACATTTATTTCTTAGTGAGAAATTTGTTGAAAAATAAATAAATGTAGCACTAATTTTAAGCTTCAAATGTTTTAGAATCCCAAGGCTCCCTCCCCTAATCTCCGCTAATAAACTGTCAAAACGTTTTTTAATGTATCTAAAAATAAAGTTAAAAATAAGTATAAACCTATATGTACATGCGCTTAATTTTATTCATTGAATTTGCACAAGATAGTATTTACCTTTATACATAATAAATAAATATATACTTTAATTGTATTATAATAAACTATATTTTAAGCCTTCATAGATAATTAACTTATAGCTAATAATAACGATTTTCAATTGATATTTGCAAATTTTTCTTAATTATGTTCAACATATAAATGATTTAATATTGGTTGTTTATACAAGATTACATTAGATAATATTATGCATTCAGTTTTATAGCGTAAAAACTTAACTACGCAGAATGCGTTTAATCGTTCTATTGTCGGCGTTGTGGGAAAATATCTAATATGTTACCGAAAACAAATGGTATTAAAGAGATACTATCACATTTGATTTTTAGAAAAAAAATCCTTGCTGAATGTAATTATCTTTTGATTTAAAAATCGTTTTTGGTCTAAGACTATCATAGTCCCAGTAAAACGCAATCTGCGTGGATATATTTTGGTACAAATAATGTAGTTATTAACGAACGTTGTTGATGGTCTGATAAAATAACTGATTGTACAAATAAATTTAGTCTGGACAAAAAATTACCTACGAGTACATCAAACTTTTTAATAATTAGGTTGTAAAACGTCCTTTTAACTCCGAATCCGAAATCCTATTATTTGTACATCTTTTAATGCATTTTCAGATTCGTCAGTCGTTCAATTATTGCTCTGTTGACTGTTTGTCTGTAGACATTTTTTAAAAAGTTTATTCAGGTGTTAGAGGTCTACGGCGTTTATACAATTAAAGCATTATACGCTTTTATTGGGTATCACAAACGAGGCATACACATTACGGTCGATTGCAGTCGCGTCTTAATTGTATAAGGGTGTATCAAATATTGAATTAGTATAAGTTCAATTATACGCCTTTGCCTAATAATCAAAGAGCAGTAAAAAAATGCATTTACCATGTAAACATTAGGGCGGAATTGGTAATGAGATTCAAGCTTGTCACGGGGAAAAAAGTATTAAAGGGGATAAATAACGATTAATTGTCAGATCAAATAAAAAATAATATATTTATAAAAAATAAAACTCACTATACAGTGCGAGTGACGAGTGTTTCATACTTTTATAAAAATATATACCAATTTTTTATTTTCTATACAATTTTTTTTTTGTATTATAGACCATAAATATTTCATACCTAATTAAAAATAAATACAAATACAATAACTTTTATTATTAAATTTCATTTTAAAAATCCAAAACAGCTTTGTTTAAAATTAGAATATTTACTATGAATTTGTGTTACATCACTGTCGATTCCATGTGGTATGCAAAACGAAAAACCATAACAAATTAACCAACTATATAAAATATTTAGCACATAAAAGAAAGATGTAAGCTTTGCTATAATATAATATTAACAGTGAAAACTAATTACCAATCTAATGCATTTGATTTGGATATTGCGATTTAAGAGAGTTGTACAAACAGAACTACTGATGAACAGCTCTAATAATTAATAGAAGGTGCAGAGTTAGACTTTAAACAATGTTTAAGAGAAATATATTTAGTTATTATTGAAACCACGAATACCTTAGGTAATATTGATCTTTTTTTATATCATAACTTTAACAAATACTATAAAAAAGTTTAATTAAAAAAATTAAGAAAAGGTGAAATCGTAAAAAATTCATCCAAAAGCACTTACGATTGTTTTTAATTTCATGTAGAGGAAACCAAAATAAGCATATAAAAGCTAACTATAGTTTACTAAAAACTAAATGCTATTAGAAATATCATTTGAAAAATTCAATAAAAGTTGAAAAAACGTGATTTAATGGTGAGTTATAAATTTAAAACAACTTCCGTAGCGCAGAGTAAACGTTCTTAACTGGCTCCGTTTTTTCGGCAGAAAATTAACTGCCGGGTTCACACTGAAAGAAAATTCTTATTCGCGTAGATGGCTGTCAAACGCCGACTATAGAAACCGCCTGGAGTGCACAAGCGGAAATCACTTCTCAAAGTACATTTATATACATTGACAGAATAGCTGTGGTCGATAGGGATAAAACCAAGTTGTATCAACAATTTTAAGTCACCGTGTAGAGCTAATAATAGGTAGTCATACAGTAGGTAATACGAAAATGAAATACTTTTATAAGAAGAAAATATGTCATTTCCACTGATATTCAGTAATAGCTTTTCCATTGTTGACAATTGAAATTGAAATAAACTGTCATCGTAGTAAAATGTTAGCACAGTAGGGGAAATAAGCAATTACGCTATATTGATTGAAATATGAAAAAGTTTAAACGAAATAAAATCGCCTACCACAATATGTAATACAGAACGACGTAAGACTCATTTTCTAGGAAAATGTTTTTCCCCTAAACTTTGAGGTAAGTATTTTACTATATTTTTCAATACGAAAAAAAGTTTTGCATTTATCGCTTATAATAAAAGAAGTATGGACTTCATTTTTTTCAAATGAGAACATGTGTTTTTAGTTCCAAAAATATGTAGGTTTGAATTTTGAATTTTCATCAATCTGTTCGTTTGCTATGACATTACAAAGATTTGAATTTAAGATCAATATTTCAATATTCGTTTGGTTTCTACAACAGTAGTACAATAGTTTTCCATTAAATAAAAATATTGACCCCCGTCGATAACACTTGTCACCGTCACTGTGCTTGAATATGTAGATAAGGTCCACTTGTCTATCATTATTACAAAACGTTTCATTATGTCTAGTTATTGGGTTCTCACATACAAAACAATGCGAACATAAATATGAATTTAGCAAACCGAAAACATATGATAATTGTAAGAGGAAATGTAATATATTTGCAAAGCATATAGCAAATTAACAGATTGACGAAAATTATAAAATTCAAACGCTAACATTGTTTGTCTACATATTAATGGAATTAAAAACATGTGATCCACACACGCATTACGTATAATGGATGAAGATAACTAACCTAACCTAACATACAAACATAGGAAGAACATTATTATCAAAACATTCATATTTTCTGAGACAATTATTGCCTTACATCAAATGGATACACTCTGTATATGTTTTATGGTAAGTTGTATATAGTACTGTCAAATTAAGATCAGTAACACAAATTTAATATAATATGTAACATAAACTGCAACTAAATAAAAGACTTTTACAAAAAAAAACACTAATTTGTTTACTTCTTGCTTCTTGCGTGAAACACAAAAGTATTTTTTTCATGGGAAGTCTATAAGGTTCTATATGATGGTGGTGATCCATTTTGTGTAATTCCGGCGATACTGTTTATCGCATGCAAGCGTTATCACCAGGGTCGTTTGACGGTATTAAATTATGTTATGTATGATTAAATATCAATATCCTTCATGAAATTAATTAAATCACGATTTAACAATATGTTATACCGGTAATACTATGTACTGCATATTAATGAACGGGCGTTCCTGAATTGTCACCTTCCATATTAAATTTAAAAACTAAGCCTCCGAAATGTTAAAACAGTTATAGGAAACTAATTTATTAGCTGTACCCGGTAGTAGAAAAAAATTCAAATATGTGTAATAAGTTGTAATAGAATGTGTTATAAATTATGTTGAGTTGATATTATTTTAAAATGTTGACAGTCTTTTGATCCAGTCCTATCATCTGAGGTTGCGTTAACCCTTATATTAGCCCTTTGAGTGTTTTTTTTTTAATGTTTTGTGTAAACACCACGCGTAGACTACCAAAGGGATGTGGACGACACGAAAACGAGAATCAGAACGGGTGAACCCTTTTTTGAAATTTAACACCACCACGACCCTTCCCTTACTAGCTGCAGTCTCCCAGGGCAGTACCCGACAGTCTGTTATTAAATGTTAACCGAGCCGCACGCATACTCCGGTTAGGCAGTCTGTTAGCCGCGTAAATTTCGAAATTATGTCTACTTTATAATTTGGTCGACAACGAGCAAACTTTGAACCATCAGTTATCAGCGGTCCTGTTAAAAGTAAACGGTAAGTAAATCTCACATCATTTTATATTTTTTATGTGCTAGTGTTGTATAGTTTTTTCTAGACCAATTACGGTGATGAGACAACGTCTGTCTATAATAATTTGTTTCCATGGTTACTTATATCGTAATAATTATATAATGAAAATATTTTCAAATATTTGTTAACTGTTGATTCATAAACATTAGTGACCTAGAAATTTACAACGGTCAAAGTTTATGATCTTCTCTGTTTTTGGGTTTTCCTTAATATAAAAAAACTTTGACTACAGATTTTTTTTTAAAAAAACCGTACATGCTCTAGATCTATCTTCAGTCTAATATTCAGACCTTCAGTCCTAAAACTTAGAAACAAAGGAAAACATTTCTACCCCCTTTTTAAAAATAAAAGTTTTATGATATAAGGTATAATAATATTATCTTTTAATAATACCACGTATAAAAGATAAAGATAGCGACATAATCAGAATAAACAAAAATATTTAAAAAAAAAACTATGCAGTCACAATCAACAGATTTAGTTTTATAAAAATGATTGTGTTTGTTTAAAATGTATAATAATGTAATTTTTCAAATGGTTTTTTAAATATTTTTTCTATTTTTGTGACTGGACTCACGTTTACCCTGCGTTACTACTCTATACAAGTGTTAGATTGCTGCTACTCTGGGTCTCCTGGACCCAATTTTTCAAATTTACCTCAAATTCCCAAATATACTTCTAACTATAATATCTACAACTGCTTCCTGAACTTCCACGTTGTACTCGTCAAAATTAAAAGTATGTAAAACACATTTTAATGCAAAATTGTTTTTATCCTGCACTGAACCTGACACGTTGTTAATCATAACATTTGCATGGACATCATTACGAGTAATAATTGTATTTTGCGCCATATTTGATAAATATTACCATCGAACGCGCCGTCACAACTAATTGAGTACACTTCCGATTTCATGTGTACACCTGATTCAATTATGTCTTTATCGACAGTAGGCAGATATGGGCAGCTAATCTATATATATTCTTATTCTATATACCTTAAAGTATTATTGTATGTGTATAACAGCGTGAAGCTCAGTGAATAGATATAACAAAAATGTAATCTTATCAACCTACCTGTTATGTTCTTGTACTGTGTTTAAATCAAGGTTTATAAATACAGGCGTATACAACAAAAATAGATTCCAATTTTATTTATATAATGACTATAATACATATATAGTACATACGTGAGAAAATTAGAACAATTTAAAACTTATGATTTGTGTTACATATTAAAGATATATTATAAAAAAAATCGTGAATTAGCAACCAAATTATTTTCGATTCTTCCAACTTCAACAACTCGTAAGTAAAATTTCAAATCAATATTTTGAATTCTAATTTTAATTTTCAGAGAACTTAAGTAGTATTGTAACAACCTAAAAAAAAATTACATTTTTCCATTTTGATTTTTTTGATTTTTGGCCACCTTCTTTGATTTTAGATCACTGTGCACTGTCTTGGCCACCACACCATGTTTAATTATTAGTTCAATAACTATTGAGCCACTTTTTTGGTAGTTAATTATTTTTTTAGGACAATTACATCATACTCAATCGTGATTTAAATGATTTTTTTCATCTAGAATGCATTTTACCCGGTGCATATTACAATTAGTGTAAAAACTCTTATTATAAAATCAAAAGATAACAACATTTTGCAGACAATATGTTATCGAATTAAAAAAAAAATAATGGGAAAAAAGTTAAAATTATTTTGAAAAAGTAAAAAAAAGGTGATTTAAATCTTTAAATATTAGGTTTATAAAAAAAAGCTATGACATTGTTTCCAAAATCTTGTCATCCTCTCATTTTCGTTATAGGTATTTTTGTTTTAAATCGACAAGCAGCGATGGAACGCAATATGTGTAGGTATGTTTTAACGCTGGCAAATAAGATGTAATCGACGCGTCATAATGGGTACAATTTAAAATTATTAAACTTAAATGTTGTCTACTGTTGTACTAAAACATAAATAAAAAAATTCTCAAAAAGAAACATCACAAATTTGCAAATATTTTAAGTGTAAACTCTAGTATAGGGAAAGAATAACCCGGTATATACTATAGTAAAGAGGAGCGAAAACTTTGTTTATTAAATAGCAAAATATATGCAACAAATGACAAAAAAAAAATTTTGTAGCCATTTTAAATATACCGTCTAGTTTTAAAAAGAAAAAATATTAAGTTTTTCTAGTTATACAACTTTAATTTTTTAAACGGATTTAAGTTTTGTTTCATGTAGCTTACTATTTTCTCTGTTCGAGCTAAAATGCCGATTTTTGATGAAAAGTTATTAATAAGTAAAAACCTTAATGCTTTAATGACATTTTAAAAACAAAAATAAAAAATAGAAAATTTGCCGGTTTTTGTTCCATTTAATTTTAAGGTATTTAAAATAAAAGTCTTACTTGAAGTCGTGACTGATGTCGTATTCTTTTCTGTCTGGTATAACCATCGGGTGATATCGGATAGCTAACTGATGGCAGAAAATTTTAACCACTCTTGTTAAAATTCCAACATTTACTACAATGCCCTAATCGGAAAATTCGAATATAAGTACCGCCTTTGGGGTAGAGTAAGCGCGTAGAGCTATTTATATCTGCGCGCATTATTCTACCGCACTACACCTCCCATCGTACCCTTTAACGTTTAGTAGCTTAAAAAGTAATTATCCAAATCTAGTTATCGACCAGTCAAAATTTTCATCAAACTAATCTTAGTAAAATGGCTATCTTGAACTAAAAAAAAAAATAAAAACATTATTTAAAAAAGTAAAATAGTTAAGTGCAATAAAAAACGTGTTGCTTGTAGCGCAATTGAGTATAAATTGATAAATTGATAAAAAAATAATATTTTTTTCGTAACGTACTTATATTTGCAACAATTTTTTTAATGCTTTTAATCTGAAAATTCTATTTGTTATCATTAAATGTTTTAATATAATAAAAACATATTTAAAAAACCAGTGCAGTGGGGTCGGGGCATAGTGGGGACGGGGAGGTCACAGGTTTACAGGAATTTTTAAATTTGAAAGTGATAAAATCACTTCCGAAAAACTCCTTTGATGCAAATCGGTAGTTAGATTTTCAAGCCAGTACAGTCCAAACCAAGCACAGTATAAACCAGCAAAGTTAGAAAGTATTAAATTGAGTGCATCTACTGTTTTTTTTGCAAAAACATAGTTGACCAAATAACACATATACTTGTTTGTCTTGTTATTTTACTATATGTCAATAAAAATAATAATACTCGGAACGACAGCGGATTGACACTCCAGATCAATGTTAAATCAATAACTGATTGTCGAATTACCGAATACCGACTACGTACAAATGTCATCAACTCCGACCTCTCTCTCATACACCATGGCCGGCTCGGTCCGATAAGGGGTTTTTCGTTCCCACCTGTACCGTGTACATGAGACGATGAACAGTTGATAACGCGACCAGGCTAATCGCTATAAACGTTTTCAAATAAATGTTCACTTAAAAATTACAAAATAAAAAACCGATTATCAATAAACAATATTATTTTAGTTTTGATTTTTGCAAAAAAAACTCTAATATTTTTGTATTAAACTTTTATCGATTATCACTTTACAAATGTCATAATACCTACATACCTGAAAAAAAAATTGAATTTGTGTAAAATAAAAGTCAAAAGTGGTACTTGAGTACAAAACTTAGTAGTATCATTCTACATAGGTCAACATAAAATTGTTTTAATTATTTGATACATTTTTTTTTAAGATTTTAGGTCTTTTTGTTAAAATATACGCAATCTGCGAAAACACAGTTTTCAGGCAATTAAAAAAAAACTGTAGTGCCGAATTTTTTTTCCGTTTTATTAGTAATGAATACATATGAGTTCTAACTACTGGCAAATTTTCAACCCAAAGGTTTTAAAATTACGGCTAAAAACCCCGAAAAACAAAAAAACTTGTACCCCCCCTAGGGAGGTGGGAAATGGGTATAGTTTAAATTTGATACAACTGACGTATGCGGGCATACCAAATAATTATTTCTTATACATTTCAACTCGATCCGACTCTTTTTCTCGAAATCATAGCCAGTAAAAGTTCTAACTTAAAAACTCGTACGTTTTTTTTTTGTTTTTTCAAATTTCGTACCCCCCCCCCCCCCCCAAAGTACAAACTAGATAAAATTTGTGATTTATAGAGTTGCTATTCGAAGGAATTGGTCAAGTATTAAAAAAGTTACAGTGTATACAGCGAAAAAAAAAGCCCACATCAGAGTAAAACCAATACCTTCTCGCTTTGCATCGAAGTTAAAAATTAAAAGTTACAATAATATTTATGGAAGACTATAGATAGGTTATTTTTATACAAAGTAGAAGACTTTAATAAGTTCTACGTTTTAATAAGGAAATTAATTATTTTATTTTTTTTTTAAATCTTTTGTTGCATCAAATTTATTTTTTGCTTTACTAAAATCAAAACCTAGTTTTACGCCATAAGAAATAATCATTGGAAAAAAAACAATTATATATTTAATGTTGATTAATATAATGTATTACACCAAATCTAACTTAATTTATTATTAAATTACAAACGTATGTGTTTAATACAAATTCACAACGTTTTATGAGCGTATTACTTAATATTTTTATTAAATTTCGACCATGTTGATTAATTTACCGGTTAATTTATATGAGCTTCATGGTATCATTTTTAATTTAAATAATTTTGTCTATGAGTAAAAGCCATTTTAGTTAATATAATAGTACATTTTTTGTCCATCGCACAGGCTGAACCAGTAATCCGATAAGTAATCTGAAAACAGATTTGAATTTGTCATGAAGTTTACTTGAGATCGGTCAGCGTACTTTTTTGATATCTTATTCCTACTACGCATAAAACACGTTTGAACATTTTATAAAATTTTAAATTTTAAAATCAAATTTGGAAAGGGTTAAAACTAAAAATTGAAAAAAGTGCTCTGACCGATCTCAAGTAAACTTCATGACAAGTGAATTAGTAAATTCATATCTGTTTTTTGATAGCTTATCGGATCAATGGTTCACCCTGTGCGTTGGACAAAAAATGATGTGTTTTGGCTGAAAAAAACGGTCGGTATCCAGGGGCCTTAAGCTGCGTGACGTTTTGGAGTTGCAGTAGGAGGAGAGGGATGTGGGTAACTTTCGGAGGGTAATGCATAGCAGCAATGCATCCCGCCTGTTGCCCAGCGTTATTGATTTATTGCGGAGAAACGCACCCTACCGGTTTGACTTCCATTTATGGCCTTGCAACTCTGGTACGGTACAACTAGAAAATATGTATTTACAATGATGTGTTTTTATTATTTTTTTTTTTTTTGTGTCTACCGGTCTTCTAAGCCACTTAACCGATTTTTTTTGTGTCTACCGGTCTTCTAAGCCACTTAACCGATTTTTTTCGTATAGCAACTCTAAAGATTAGTAGTCGTAGCTGTTTGATAAATTTAAGAAATGTATCCCTTTCCCTTTAAAATGTAGAAAAAAAAATTGTTCGACCTAAAATTCGTATTCACCATATTATTAAAATGTATTTTTAAGTAAAAAATTGTAATTAGGTACAATGCTTTTAACAATATTTTGTATTTTTGTCTGTAAACACTGGACTTACCTTACTTACTCAATACTACTAATACTAATTACTACTACTACTCACTTACGTGCTATACTTTCTTACTATGCTGGTTTATACTTGGTTTGGAGTTTGGACTGTTCTGGTTTGTACAAATTACCTATCCACAGATTCGCATCGAAGCGTTTATTTGAAAGTTATCTTATAACTTTTAATTATAATAATTCCTATATAGACATATGACCTCTCCATCCTTATCATAGATAACAAAACTTTTTTTTTATAGATAAATCTAATTTTATTATAAGCACTATAAAGTACGAACCAGTATTAACTAGTAAAAATTATCTACATGCAATAATTCTTAAAATCCATGTTTGATAATTTTTTTTTTTAAAACAACTGTGTAGTGAAATGTGAATAATGTAGGCAATGGTTTAAACATATACAGTTAAGTGTTACGTATATTATACTAAGTCTATGTTTCTCTTTATATTACTAAGCCTATACAAAAGAAAAGCGACCAATTTTATGCGGTATTTCCTCTTCATAGTTATTATCCACCCGTTTATAAACTATGGCGGGGTACCTCTGTTGACAGCGAGAATCTCGCAAATCGATCGTCATTCATGTGCACCGCTTATATCACGTTGAATCCGTTATCCGTCTTTATTTATAAGTTATGACCCTTTGTAAAATTTTCAAGGGGATTGATAATAACGACTTTCTATTTTATTATTAATTACGAACTCTATACAATGTAATTTATTTCGCCAAGTTATTTCCTGATAGTGTTCTACGGCAATTATCTTTTAATTTTTTACCCCATTAAATAAAAAAAACAAAACAACCTTTACCACAAAATTACACATTTTGCATAACATAATGCCTTTTTCTATAATAACCTCATGCCGTAAAAGCTTTTACTTTGACAAATGTTGTTATCCAACGATAAAGAAATTATACTTTATGAAAGGTTGCTAATTTTTCAATATTATGCAAATTGAATTTTCATTCTTACTCCGTCGAGTGTATTTATGAACCTTAATTGAAGTCGAAAGTGTTAAGTTCATTTTATAATATACCCATTTTGGTTTTTAAGAGGACGAGTCGCTAAGATGGTTAGCGTCAGTGTACACTGTTTGCCGGGCGAGAAACCGTCTGATAAAAAAAGGCCACCCTTCTCTTATTCCCCGTCTCTGGCGACAGACTGACGCGGCGACCCTTCCCGGATAGCGATTTTTTTTAGAAAGGTGTAAAGGTGTGTACACTTAGGCAAACTTTTAGCAATTTCTAAATTTGATTGCGGACGAAGCTAAATCGCATTATGCCTACTTTTTTTTTACAGCCTACCAACCGATTTTATTAAATTGAACTGAACGATGAAATACCACTTGATTTCTATTTGGCATTGAATATATAAGATAATTATATACTCTTTATCCGGTATATTACGATAAATCTTTAAAAAAAATTGTGTGGTCAATTCTGCGTTGAGTATACTATAAGTTTTTACATTCAGGGGGGTTAAAATGTTATGAGTTTATACGTAATTAGTTTAATTAATAGATGGTGTGTGCAAAGTATTCCGCATTGATACATTTTCCTAAAAACGTTTAATATCTTATAAAATAATGTAATTTAATGTGGAATTTAATTCAAAATAGTCTCTCAGCTCTGCATCGAAACTAAAATGTGATATTTGTGGTTGACACCGGCTAACACATTTTCATGTTAACAAAAATTGTTAAAATTAATTAATGTGGCAGATAAATTATCTGTTATATTTTGAAACTATCCTATTTTTTTGTATACTTCAAATAACAATTTTATTACCCATAAGGATTTGACCTTTCTGATATATATCTTCTGAAAATTATTATTTAAAAATAAATCCTTTTCAGAATCAACATTTGTTCTTCAGCGGTGTATAAGACTTTACTCTAATGATCATAATAGGGTATACCCTACAATTGTCAAAGTTAATCTCATACTATAATAATAGATGAAGTCCTAGTGTTCTATTTCTCACTTTGTTTAACGCACATAGTATTATATTGTTTAACAAATCTTTTGGACTTTATTTTAAAAAACAATGTATTTTGTTTCCGTAAAACTCTTGGAATGTTCATCAAACCCGGTTTTGACTTAATTAAAAATGATAATATTATATAAGCTAAGCACTTAGTTAAAAAATCGATACACATTTTATTTGTATTCACATCATCAATGTGACTTAGAAAATAATAAATATTATGTTATTATTTAACAAACAGCTAAGCAACTATGGTTATTATAGTTAAAAAAAAAAGTTAAGTATTTCAAAAACCCTAAACTACAAAAAATAATTAACTTTATTGTTTACGCGTATTTTAGTAGCAATGCTATCATTGTCAGGGCTTACAACAGATTTGGTCTGAACTTTTAAATATTTGGTTATTTTAATTCTTATCCATCATGTTATAAGAGGTTAGTGAAGTGTGGTGAAACCACCATTATATTTATATACCATTCGGTTCAGAAGAATGAATAAAATTTAAAGACAATTTGACGACAGTCAGTTTTGGTTCAAACAATGTTTATTTTGGACTGTGATTGGTTTAGAATATGCAGATTTACACTGTTCTAATTTTTTGAATAGATTTTTATTTTAAGTTATTATTAAAACGTTTAGTTAAAACAGCGATAGATATTTTGTTTATACGCGAAGCTATTAAACGTCCAAAGATGATATTTACAAATTATAATGTAAAAGTTCGAATTTATCATATTTTAACAAGTTTAATGACAAAAACCTTATAACTGTAAATAATACGTTATTATTTTTTTGTTTTTGCAGGAACCTCATTTACAGCCGTCAATTCCTGGGGGTCCTGCTGAAATACAACATTTATTATTATTGGATTAAGACAGTTGTGGTTATAGTTAGTATAAACGAAATTACTGATAATTTTAAAATAATAATTGTTTTACCTTACCTTAGGAAACTTGAATAATGGCAACCGATTCTTACAATTTTCACTGACTGGCAACATATCTTCTGTTTTAAATTTAATAATCGTTCGTGGTAAGTATAGCCATAAATAATGATGATTAAAACAATTATTAATTTTTGTATTTTTTTAACGAACATAATTTACAGCGACCAATTTTTGTGACATTTGCTGAGTGGCTACAAGTCAACTTTTTTAATTAGAATAGTCGTGTTTGGTGAGTATATACATAATAATTGGTTATTGTAAAATTTTAACTTTTTTTTTCTTCCCTCAGGAAGTATTTATTTATAGCAACCAATCTTATATCTGCTCATTTCAACTATTGTAGTTAGCAAATAGAGTATTTGCTGTCAATTCATAATCCGGAATAATTAGGAAATTACAAGTATTTCAAAGAGTTCAATATTCTTTATGATTAAGGTTATAATATATCAACCTAACAAGATGTGGATTAAGTGGAAATTATAATTTGTTTATATACTTGTAATAAAATATTTGTTCATACATTTCAATACTTTTGAATATATTCTCCTAAATATGTTAAAAAAAAAAATTAGAAAAGGCAGAGTAAAAAAGGAGGAGAGTAACTACTCCAAAATTAATTTACTCAAAATTTGTTTGTTGCGCCTTGGTTCCAAAAGAAAAGTCTATTTAATTAAATTGTGTTTTTCATGGTCTCTTCGGTTTATTTTAAAATCTATTCTAGGAGAGTTATTAATTTAAGGGAATGAAAATCCCTTTTACTGTTTTCTGCGTTTCTGTTTAACGTGCTTTTAATTAATCTAAATTTTAGTTCTTGTCACTAATATTCCGTCTCTTTTTAGATTATACCGCACTATCAACACTAAAAAATCGTTCCACTGATGCAACGGCAATGACAACGGCCACGACGGACAGAAGGTCTAATTACAAAATGTAATTGCAACCGACTTTTATAATATATAATTTTATTTTTATTTTAGAGTGGGTATAGAATTCAAGATGGTTATACTTTGAGTAGAGCTTTTTTTACTCTCCCAATTTATTTTCAATAAAGATATTTTTAGACCTTTTTTTGACCATGGAAATAAAAATGTACTAGCATCTTTATCTTTATGCTCACTGCTGAATTCATTTGTACTATTCTACCACGAGCTCCAAAACATGTTTTTTTAATTTTGGACACTTTCATGTAATTATTATATATAGAATATTATATTATATTTAAAAGAACTTGATTGATATTGACCAAGACAGCATTTAGATTATCATAAAAGTAATTCCATCTCGTTACGTTATGTTTTTATAACAAAACCCAAACAACTTTTGATAATGCCAACTACGAAGAAAGAATTTGGCTCAGTAAAAATATCTTTAAATTATATCTTTAAAAAGTTGTTCGACTTTGCTTCTTTTCCTGAGAACTATAGCTTCAAAATCTTTAGGTAGTAATCATAATATATAAAATTTTAACTACAAAATGTTTAAGATCTGTGACATACGGTATTTATTGATATAATATTTTAATATATACCTTTGTACAGTTTATTGTGATTCTAACTTCGCAAATGTTAGAATTTTTTTCGAGGTAATAAAAGTATATAAATGAATTTGGGACTATTTAAAAAAAATTTAGTTGAGGTACACATAATGTTTAAATATTGTGTGTTCTAAAATTGTATAAAATAACATAACAAATGATTTTATTGGTCATCTATACTCAAACTTTAAAAAAAAAAAATGTTTAGCCAGCTATATTCAATTGATTAAGATTCAGTCTACATTTTAGAGCTGAAGACATAAAACCAAATCAAAAGAGTAAGAATAAAACCCTCACTGGATGAAAGGCTTAATAATATTGTCTCTGTATATTGGTAATAGTATAAAATATACTATAGAAAAAGACACCCAAATTCAAAAATAATTGGTTGATTTTTAAAAAAGTTTTATCCTGACGTAAAGTTAAAATGGAAAAAGTGTATATTTTTAAAATATTGTTTATGCTCTTGATAGCAAGGAACAAATTGTTTCATGTTTGACATTAGAAAGTTCAAATAAGGTACTACTTCTGGTCTTATTAAGGAGTTACAGAATCTTAATTTAAAGGTTTAACTATAATGTCTAATTATTAGTTCAGTAATTAGGACTTTTTTTCTGACTATCACAGCATCTTTGACAGATATTTAAAAAAAAGTTGCATCAAAACATAGCTATGCACATTCTCTAATATTGACTAAATAATAATCGTAGAAAACATTTTTATCATATTTTAAATAATGAGATCTTTATTTATAGGTTCTCTCATCAGTTTTTTTTTTTTTATTAAACCAACACTCTCAATTTATATTTGAATACTGCCTTTTTTAAACTTTTTTAAGTGCTTGTTTAAGGTAAAATTAATGTTTTCTAAAAAAAACGACTGAAGAACCTAGTTAATGTTCTTCCATTTTAAACAAGGGAATTTTAATAAGAAATTCTTTTTACTCCCATCGCAAATTAGTTTTTTTGATTGCTACTTTTGAAACATAAATAGTAAGGCATACATTTCATCCTAATACTAAGACTAAGAATCTTAATACTTATTGTTTTATAACTATTTTTTTGTTTTGTATTTAAAAAAATATCACACATTTTTGTAAACAATTAAAGAATAACATAAAAATAAGTTACAGTGGTTACAGACAAAAAAATCATTATAAAGTATGGTTTAATGTTATAAATTATATTAATAACTAACTAACTTAGAAAATGATTAAAGGTTATACATTATAATGCGAAATAAATTGGATACTCAACGTTTCTGGGCTCATAGAAGTTATTTAAGTACACACTTATGTTGGTCTGTTATTAAATAATACTATCTATAATATAATCGTTTTACTTTTGGTGTGTACATGCATATAATACATATACATATAGTATATTTAATCTATGGTACATGTAAATATGCACTCCACAATGCAATATTTTAATTTGGTTTGTTGTTTGTAGGACACTGGATTAAAAGTGGACGCCTTGCAAAGAGCTAGTGGCCGTCTTTGTTAAATCAACCGATTTATGGAGCGCTTTCCATGCAGCTTATAACAATTAAAAAACTGGGAAAGCTACCTATCCCTAAGAAAAGATGCTTGGAATTGGGAATACCACTCAAAAAATTCTTCGATGCGAATTTTAGATGGTAATATTATTAAATATCAATATAAATTACAATATAGACATTAGGTATATGTGTTTATGGTGATAGGTTGTATGTATTTTCGGAAGACATCAATTTTCTCGAAAAATAATTAAAATTGTACGATTACTTAGCCGTCTACAGTTATAATAAAATAAAAATTGTTTGATGTTTGATAGAGTCCCACCAACCTAATCTAAAAAACAAAACTATAAAATTGACTCGAAAAAAAACGAAATTTGGAATATTATGGCAGAATTGGAACAATGAATGTTTTGGGAATGAAAAAAGTGAAATAAGATAGTTAAAGTTTCCAAGTAAATAAACACACCCCTGGACCTCATATCCTCGGAATTGGGCTTATTGAATTATCGGGTGAATGAAAAACTAAACGTTTTAGAATCTGACCTTTGAGTAATTAAGCAGAGGATAACTAAAAACAACTTAAAAAAATAACAATTTTGTTTACAAAATTTCAATAATGAAAGTGGCACTATTTGCCAAATCACCCTTATACTAATATATAAGCAGTTAGTGATACGTAGTTATAATATTATCTAATAGACTGGGCCAAAAAAAATGGTGCAATCGGTACAGTAGTAAACAAAGAAAACGATGCAGTCGGTACGGTACATTGTACATTCAGTACCGATGGACCATGCGGTAGTGTGGGGTGGCGGCTGCCGAGATAAAGCTCAAACAAGGGTCGTATGTGTAATTGTTTTATTTAACTAGACCAATAGTAAAAAAAAAACATTTTTTTGAAAAAACATTATTTTTCAACCTAGAAAAAACTATTAAGCAAACTTATGGTTAAATATATAGTAAAGATATAAAATCTACTTGAACGCTAAACCATAAAAAGTATACACTTCTTGCGTACACGTGTTACGACAACGATGTTGTCATCTTCAGCGCTAACAACAGACTGAGACCGATTACATGCGAACATCTCCCTCTATACATATATACAAGGTCATCATACCGGGTGTGATGACCCGATTAGTCAATAAGCATAAATGGCCAAGGGAAGTTAGAACAGCCAGTACGCTCAGTAGGAGGGATAATGAAAAAATTATTAGATCAGGTATGGTTTATTTTCCAGGTATTTCAAAGGGGTTAACAAACATTTTTAAAAATTACGGTGTAACTCTAGTCGCATCGAAAAGTACTTATTTAAAATCTTTGTTAGGTAGTACCAAAGATAAAATAGGGGAAGAAGAAAAATCCGGGATTTATAAAATACAATGTGAAGAGTGTGCTAAATGTTATGTAGGTCAAACAAAAAGAAATATTGGGGTTAGGTTGAAAGAACACATAAGGAACATCATAAACCAAGAAGTACACAAATCTCCTGTTGCGGAACATTTATTGGACACTAATCACATAGTATCAAATCAGTAAAATTACTAAAAAATGTATATAACTCTAAAGAACTTAATATTAGGGAAGCAATAGAAATGTTCGCCCGTAATCGGTCTCAGTCTGTTGTTAGCGCTGAAGACGACAACATCGTTGTCGTACCACGTGTACGCAAGAAGTGTATAATTTTTATGGTTTAGGGTTCAAGTAGATTTTATATCTTAACTATTATTTTTCAAACTAATTATGATCATTTTTAATGAAAAAATGTCAGATATTTTAAACGTTTTTTTTTATTTAAGAGTGTACTGTGTAGTACTTAAGTAAATTTACCCATTTTAAAAAGCAAGGCGCGAATCATTCAGGCCACGTATCAATCAATAACGTAGCACAATAAAAACAGCAACGCCAGAGCGTCTGAGGCGTCTAGTTCGTTTGCCGTCATCGGCGACGGCGGGGTTGAGTGCGTTTAGTCTCTCCGTCTTCGGCGTCGGTGTTTTTGGTGGATAGCTTCGGATAGACAATGTATGGCTAATTGTAAATCGAACCGGGCGGACTTAACGTGTCATCGGCGCGGCGGCTGCAATAGTGAATTTTTTTTTATCATCAGCACAAAAGTGTACATTTTTTATTAGGAATTATTTCATTAATTATTTTACTATGAGTGATATTACACTGGTGACGGGTTGCAACGGATATTTACATGGAGTTAAACTCGATTAACTGGAGTTAAAATAAATTCTGTTGCATAAACCATGTTTTAAATGTTATCTGTTGTTAAAAATATACTTTATCACGAGTTAAATTAAAGGGTAATTTATCGCTGTGTACGTATAGTTAAATTTTGTTTGCAATGTTTTGCGTTTAAATGGTGATAATGGAAATGTGCGTTCAGCGGAAATCAGTGTATCATTGATTAGTCCCAGTATGATTATACCATTAACTCCTACTGTTGATACCATTTATTCGTTAACCAGTATACTGGTAATAACCTAAATATAAAACAACAAGTTTAACAAAAGTTAGTTTATTACGGTGGTAAATAATTTACCAATAGATAACAACAAGTTTGGTGCAACCCGGTATGAGTCCTGCAAAAAAAAACAACATGACATCACACTATTAAGTGATTCAAGCCAAAGGTTAGTTTAATATTTATCATGTGAAATAGTATTTTATTAATAAAATAATAATATTATTGTTAGTTTTATAATTTAATTTTTGGACACAAAATCCCTGTTACACCATAACAACATTTTCTGCCCAAAAATATAATATTTAATAGTAAATTTTATGTTTTTTGTAAAAAAAAATGCAAAAAAATTCCGTGTGACGTACAGATTTAAAGTACTGTTCGCGGCCGGACGCGCCATACGCAATATTAGAGTATTTTTGTGTAAGATAGATGTTCGTAAGATACAGAATACAGAATATATATCAAAGTCCTTTATCTAAAAAACTAATAATAATAGTTGTTTATTATTACTATTATATTATTAATTATATTAATGTACATAGAGAAAAATGCTAAATTATTATTGTTTAGTTATCAAGTAAATAACAAATTTTTATTTAACTATTTCCACTTGGCTTATTTTTTTAATTTTGAACATAGTTGGAAAAATAACATAAAATATAAAACAATTAAAAGTAATTGTATGTTATATTTCTAGTTGTTTTAGAAATGTTTAAACGATTTTCGCTTATTTTGCCAAAAGTGTTTATTATTAATTTTGAAAACTTTGATTTAATTTTGAAAGTGAATAATGAAATTTTTTTTGAAAATCAGTTTTTCTACGCTCTAGACTAGTTTATTTCACATCAAAATCAGACTTAAAATAAGACAGAAAAAAAAATATATATATATATAACAACTATAAACAAAAACATAACACCCGGATTATAAAAAAAAAAATGTTTGATACTCTATTAACACTTTGGAAAAACAAAAACTAGCAAAGCATATACTTGCTATCTTTATATGTGGGAAATACATTTCTAGAAAGTTGTTGTGAACTTCGATAGGGAATTCGATTAAAACTTAATCGAGTTTTTGCACACATCTTGTTCATAGTGAAAATTAATATACTGAAAATATTGGCTAAACATATTCCTGTGATATGTATGCAAACACAATCGTCCCTTTCCCGACTATCAATCAATAAATCAGTCGTCCAAAACAAAAAAAACAAGTAGTTATATTATTATAAACTACTCTTTTGTGATTCTGAGAAATAATTATTTACAATTTTTCATAACCCGGGTTTTTTTTGATGATATATATAATTTTTTTTTTCAAATCTGATTTTGGTGTGAAATAATCTAGAGCGTAGAAAACTAATTTTTCAAAAAAACTTTATTATTCACTTAAAACATTAAGAGGACGCCACACCTGCCATTTTTAAAAAGAAAAGTATAAGTAGTTTTTTGAAAAATCTTAATTTAGAGTTTAAAATACAATGCATACTTATTAATACAGTAATGAGGATACTTTGTTGATTGCCATTTTTTTTGCCAGACTATCACAGTCATTTCTATAGGACAAATTACAATTTTTTCCCTTCAAAACTTCTTTGCGCAAATTAATTTTTCTCAGGCTTCATATATAGTTAAGGAAAGAAATTCATACATGTTATTTATGACGAAATTATCTGTGTTCCAACATCCGTATTTTTTCGATATACCTAATACGACCAACGCTATATCATTTTTAAAAAAGTCAAAAAGACCTTTCTTAATTAATTAATTATTGGTTAACTGGTTAAAATATTTTTAAAAAGGCGATGGTAGAACACAGACAATGCTGTTTTCTATATTATGTAAAAATGTGGTTTCTTAGTTTTTATTATAGCCTTTGTAAAATTAATCCGCGCAAGGCGGGTTTTTTGAAGAAAATAAGCGGTGTGTGACGTCCTCTTAAATCAAATACATCACTTTTTGGCCTTGATATTATTATAAAGGGTCATGCAAAAAACGACCAATGTATTTACATGCAATTTAATTTAAATGTTTAGATGAAATGTACATAAGATACGGTGTTGTCAATTTTTTAATATGTCAAGAGTAGTCACCGCGTATTCGACGAGATTACGGCCAGTATGTCTCGCATAATTATATATTATTTGTTTTTATTAAAGTCCTTTTTGTGTAATATCTGAGCGCCTTCGCGTGAGTATGGTTACTGCTCTCGTTCCATACTCTGTCACACGCAAAGGTCAATGCTTAATAATTTTCGTCCCTTAGAATTTGACATGCCGATGGAAAATGTTTACTGCGACGGTCTTTGGTCAATTACAGCGTACAACTTCACTCTCGTAGTATACCGTGTCATGTCCATCCACCCACTATTTTGTTTCCACTAAATAATTAAATCGCTTTCGACGGTTGCAATATACCGTTTAACCGTCTAAGATCAAAGTGCGTGTAGCATTTCGGAGATCAAATTATTCTATACACTGAAGTTTTTCGGAGGTACGCAGCGGCAATTATAGCATTCCGTAGAATCCCGGAGTTGTTAGTTTTCACCCCCCTGCGTGTCTGGCCTGTACCCTGTCATCAGCCCACACGGCCAACCCGGATATTGCAGGAAATGCTGCCGTAAGAGCTTTTCGTAGAATCCCGAGGTTGTGGTATTCACCCCCCTGCGTGTCTGGTCTGTACTATAACTACAAACAAAATTGTTTTATAATGTCAAAAACATTTTTCACGTATAATGAATAATATTGGAAATAATGTTCAATTTTAATAATTAAGTTACTTTTACAGCATTTTCATTGGTATTTGTGTACTGAAGGTACACTACAAAACTATATTATACAGAACACATATATTATACAACATGTGTACAATTTTTGTTTTCTTGCTATACCGAATAATTGATAACAT